AGTGCATACTTTGAGGTATCCTCGTAATAACCTTATTATTATTATACATCTTTTCCTTCCAAGAATACATCAGCGAACTTCTTTGTATGGAGTCCGGTCAAATCCTGGTGGCAGCCATGTCATACCATATTTGGAATTCACATTTCCTAATACAGTAGGATGAAAATACCCCGTAAAATACCGCAAAATTACGACACGCTGTAACTTATGGCGTTACGGTGACAGATGTATAATAATGTTGTTTCTTAATACCAAATCTATATCTCCATGCATACACATTATATCCCAATGAACACTATCACGAAATATATGACGTCACAAACCTTCTAACAAAATCAGGCTTTTATTTAATTTTCCGTCTAAAGTCATCGTTGGGGGTCCTGCATTACCCAATGCATTGTCTATTTTGCTACTAGCCGTTCGATATGTAGTAAATATCTTACGTTAACCAAGTATTTTCAATGTATCTTGTAATCTACAGTCACGAACTCACAGTGTACGTCTATGGGGTGAGGGATGACGAAGCGGACTCTTTAGATGGACTCTCCCGTAGCAAGAACTTTGTCTCAAATACATATCTGTTCAATAAATTCACGTCTGATTCAAGTGGAACTCCTTCAGATGAGCTTTTACGTAAGTATTCCATTCTAACTAAATATCACACAACACTATAAAGTATTCAGTATTTTAAAAGTATAATAGTTTAATTTATTACAAAGATGATAGGATTATTAATGGTTATAGCACCGTGCGTTGTACGAACAAATAAGATTGAGTAACAAAATTCACTTCAAATTACCTTAAACTTGATAGGTCAATCCATGACTATTATGTACGTGATTAAATCTTACCTTTACATGTTTTGTGCAGGAGACCCATACACACAATGGAGCATCGATCAGGTCTTACTACATGAAGATCCAAACAGTCTCTCGTGGTTCGAAGAATGGTGGGGTATATTGATATTGTCACTGATATCACTTCTTTTATTGGCCTTAATTCTTCTTGGAATATTCTTGATTTATTACTTCTGTTGTCGGAAAAAGAAGAAAACCAAGTAAGTATGGTCTCTTATCAACATATATTTTCAGTTTATGAGAGAAATCGGTACCTCTGGAATCGAAGGCCAAACATACATCAGTGTGACAATATTATGGATTCCATAAGAAAGTCTCACTAGGATGCTGATTACCACTAAACTTTACGAAAATCAAATTTCTTAATTTATGATTGTACAAACGTTACTTTCGTGTTCCTGTGTTCATATTTTGTTTTATTGCCCATAGATCAAAGAAACCAGTTGACAAACAACCTCGCACAACTACTAGAGAAGGGTGGGGAAAGAACACAGGTATGTCATTACAATTAATATCAAACGGTTCTATTTACTGATTCGTTTCTATGTACATTGTTAATATCACGGATCTACTTTTAATTAAACTCTAATACTCCGTTTCCGTTGCAGCTTATAAACCATCTAAAACATTACTCCCTGATTCAAATATTCTCGTTCTACCAACGGTAAGTGTGAGTTTCATTACGTTCTTATTACATTGAGAGATTATCTATATTATCCACAAGTGCGTCACGAATTGATGCCAATAGCTGTGACAGATGAAGTAGGATTTACATCGCAACCCAATATCGCTGTTATTGTGACTATATTTTAGGGTGGGTGTCACACTATGACGTAGACGATTAACGTTACCCGTTATTAACATATTTCCCCCCAAATTTCTCAGGCCCGACCAGGTAACGCCGAGAGGAAGAAACCAGAAGCCAATAAGACTAGACAAAGCGAGCAAGAGCTGGAAAGTATACCCAAAACACCAGCGCCAACAGCTTTTGATGGAAGAGCTGTCGACCCAGGTAATACATTTTCTGAATACTCGAATTAGCATAACCAATTTGAAATCAACTAAATGCAGGCAGCAAAGGTGATAGTCTGTTTACTGTGATGCACAGTAAGCGATACTTTTGTAAACGTTGCTTTGAACACCATTTAATTACTAAGTGCAACACGCATTCCTCTATTATTTACAGCTTCCGGCAGAATATACGAATATAATTCCAAAACAGGACAGCGCCGGTGGTTGAAAGCACAAAACTATGACGTGAATGTTCCTGGAAATGTTACTAGCTAAAAACAAGGAGAAGAACAAACCGAGTTGAGATTAGTACTTACAGTCTAAATCAGTGACGTCATCGACTAATTACGCGGCAATATTAGGCATCGAATTGTTTTATATATTTACAAATTTATGCACTCAGCCTCTACGCCTTTAAATTAAACCAAAGATGCTAGAAATTCGTACCGTAAAATACCACGAATGTTTCCGAGTTTTACCGGTAGATGGGAAATACCCACAATGTAATAACCTAAATGTCTTGGCATGTCCAGAACATGTAAATAAGGGATCCTATCGCATCTGTTATATACTTGATAGTACGGTTCTAATTCGACACATTGAATACTAAAAATGTAGGGTTGCTAGTAGCAACACATTATAAAACGAGAAGGTCAAGACCAATTTGACATCTTTAAACAGATAAGAATTTCTCCTGATAATGTGTTTTAAGTTTTTAATTTTATACAGCATAATTCATTTCTGCAACTCGATAATTTCCGCCCATGCAATCTTATGCAGTATATTTACAAATATGTTTTATAAAACGAGAACTACAACGTTCGATTATTTCACTAACTATTGTTTATTGTTATATTTTTAAAAGAAATATTCAGTAGATTTCTTTAAGAAACTGTTATTATGATATATATTTTATAAATTTGTACTTCAAATTGTTATGAACCTCAATAATATCGACGTTTGTCTGGCAGCCTGAAAGGTATCGACACTTAGTAATAAGCGAAACATATTTAACATCTGAGTTCCTGTTGGAATTCGACGTAATTGAAATGTATGGATTCATTTTTCATGGTTCATCCTTGTATCATAACGAAACGCAACAAAGTCTTCCATTCATGTACAGGAAAGGTAGTGGAAATAAAATAGAACGTAAGCGTTTTTTGACAAAAATCAATTTCAATATCTATCAGAAATTAGATCACTCGCTTTGATTTCACACTGCACACTCACCCAAGTTGTTAATTTCAGAATACAACGTCTCCGAATTCCAATGATCGCCATTTATGAACTGCATTTTACCTCCTCGAAACTGAAACCTCATTATTGCGGTTAGTTAACTACCGAAGTGTCAGAAAAGATTATGTGCAGCTATTTTAATGACATTTACCTGAATTTTAAATATGCATTTGTATAACTTTATGAATTCGATTCCCAGTGATTTTATCGATATATACATGTCAATTTATAATTTGGAAATCAAGAGGGTTGATCTATATCAAACTCGACATTCTTCACAGTGTTAAGTAGATCTTATAAAACTGCAATATATATTTAATATATCTACATTTGTAAATAGTTTGTATATAAGAGCTGTACATTTCTGGTAACATTTTGTTACAATTATGAATATATAATTTTGTACAGAATCCTTGTAATTATTAAACAATCAAACTAATCGAGAATTTTTTTCGTGTATGATTAAACAGGGAAACCAAAAACACTCATATGATGGTTTGATCTACTCATCATGACCACGTGTTATTAATTCACGCATATATCATGACATCACGTCATTTCTCTAAGTACTTTGACAAATAGTGGTGAAGATCTCTTTATTTGGGAGGTTAATTAACAATGAAATTAATATTAATGAATATTAATTGATCTATATACAATCCAACTGAAACAGGAAAATCATTATTGTTTTTCAGTAGATGATCTTGAACCCTCAATTCAGGAACAAATTCACTTTGCCCGGAAATTAGGTAAACCACCCGCTTGACCATCTTGGCAACCCCGCAAAAAGAATGTCAGTTTGACCGGGTTTATTTTTGCCATATAATTAGATGACGAAACCTGCTTCAGCTGACATATGCAATATGGTACCTACAGAGGACATTGAATTTCAGTTGTGTGCATTATCACGTGGAATTTGGTATTTGGTATAAATGGTGATACAATCCCGAGTAATGGTGGATTGGGGTATTAAAAATAAAAATATGTCTATAAAAGCAGTCTTTTTATTTCTACACAAAATTAGTTTAGTTCTTTAAGACATTCTCATACCTGATAATTATAATTATTGAAGTGTTCATAGTTCCTGTTTCGGTCGATGGTACCAATAACTGTAATGATAAACTTTATCAGGTCCAAAACAAAAAAATAATGATTCATACACTATCTATTTAAAACATTTTATTCGAGTTGAACACTAGATGGCGCTATACCAGGTATATTCAGGTATATTCAATTGATTATTGAACTGGTTTTTAAGAGAACAGAAATTTTATAATGTGCAGCTACTGAATATAAGTATTGTATGTAGGGTTAACACTGAATATATTGTGTTTTGACCCCCAATTGAAACAGCGATACTGTGGGTGTACGTCTTATATGGTGTTGCATGTTGTATTTCAGTTATTAACACTCCCATGGCAGCAATATGTTACTCAAAACTAATTGTTTTTATCTATTTGTTACTCCTTTGTTTGCTTTTGGAATAGTTCGAATTTGCCCCTCTAAATATATCTTTTAGATTAACAGATAAAAAGTGTTTACCGAAATTCGTGATGTACTCTGTATGTTAGTAGTGTATGTGGCAGGCCAGTGTGCTTACGAAAAGCAGAGTTGCTATCATTCGAGATATTCTGAGTACTAGACACAGATTCTTATACAAACAACAACACGTATACACGATAATTTGAATGGCGCCTTAAGATTCTTTCTTCAGTGCAGACACACTTAAGTGGGTATCTACACCCCATAAATGAATGATTATATGGTTGTACACACAATAGAGAGGGGTTATTTAAAATCACCTTAGATGGTTTGAACTTTGTTCCAGAACGTTTTCTTAGTCCCCGTTTCATTCTGAACACGTTGATATATAGATTGACCTTTGTCAGTTATTTCTCAAAATAGACACAAAGATACATCACGGCGCACATTCCCGCAATCTAATCAACAATTGATTTCGATACGACAGACTTGCGTTCATTTTTTTCATAATAGCAGAAAGTTGCAATGAGTTAGAAATATATATATATATACATAGAAAACAAACATGGAACATAAATACTTTTATTTGCAATTTCGTGTGTTCATGTTCATGATTTATTTCAATTAAATTTATCTCCATTTTAAAAAGGTGACTGCGACATTCATGCATATCACTATAATGTGGACAGGGAATAAAAGCTGTAAAACAATTATATCTATTTGTGAAATGACCAATGCATATATGAGGTATTTACTGTATTCACATACTGTATGTATTTGATATAAATATTGATAAACTTCTGTTCATATTATTTATCATTTATACTAAGATAATATTCCATATGCAAATTAAAAAACATTTAATAAATCAAAAAAAGATTTTAAGTTATGCATGGTATTCAGTCCGATGTTAAATGACAACACTATATATGGATAATCATTGGGTCTTTTCATGGCGATGTGTGAGGGCGTACTTCAATTACGTCAGCGTGTGGAGCTTTGTTTATTGTTTACCGGTGGATCTGATCTGGGCAACTCACTATTAGATACCTCAATACTGGCTGCTTTTCTGAGAATATTGAAAGTATTAAACCAGAAAAATCTGTGCATTCACTTTTATTTTGTAGACGTTTGAGCTGACCACCATGTGTTTACCGTCACTGACTTACTAGTATATTCGCACTGCAAACACATATTTACCTACAAAACGTACTGATAGAGCAACTGCTTATATTTTTTTGCATGTGACTAGGTAAATTTAGGGACGTAAATGAAAGACATTAATCAGAAAAAAATCAACCTGGTCGCTTGCAACAGACTCATTCAAGCCTCTAGCATATAAATGTAACTTAACTGGCGCTGTGAGAAACTTTTGTATTTGCATTTTTGGAATCCTTTGAATGAGAACATTTCGAGTTACGGGCCAGATAGTCGATCATCACAGGTTTTCACGAATTCTATCGTGGAAGTTTGATTAGGGAATTCCACTCAGTTATTCGAAACTTTGTTTTTACAAACCTTTCAGCTGGTGAGAGTGTGTTTCTTCAATGTACGTTATTTATACATTGGCACAATTTTCACGTGACTTAAATTTAATATTTTTCACGATTTTTTTTGTACTACAATCTTGTAGAACATTTTATTTCTCCAGTTTGTTCGGTATTGTTATTCTTTTTTTTATCCAGCATAATTCTGTTGAATATTTCTCTCAATGGAAAATTTTGTTTTCACTCTCCGTTTGTTTGTTTGTTTGTTTGTTTGTTACGTTGAGTTGATTTTCTAGAATATATTTGTATTGAATTTTTCAGCAACTTTGCAAACATTTATCCAGTTATTCCATTATTATGGCAATAAATAACAGCATTCTTATGATCGACCACCTGGATACTACGAACGTGATCGTAGTCGTACACTGCGGGACAAAAGGTATGTCTCACCAGATATTATGGTATTGTCCCTGGCAATGTAGGCTTATGTAGACGTCCTAGAAGAGCATATGTATAAGTAAGCCATCATTATGTTAAATCACTTAAACAGAAGACTGGACACATAAACACTGACTGTGATGACAGTCATTGTCGCATACGACTTTTTTACCACTTCCGTGTGACTGAGAATGTTCTAGAACCGTACTCTGTCTGGGTGGAATTTTTAGAAGTTGGTTGAATAGGTAATAGGACACTGTAGAAGGCAATAGAATGTAATGGAACATTCTAGAAATTTGTAGTAAGTTCCAGACTCATTATGTATGCTGATGTAATGGTCTATTTATAGACAGTGTGGGTATATATAGGGGAGTTGTTCAGCACTGAGATCAGATCGGAGATCTCGTTGAATTGTATTGGAGTTTAAGTATCTAGTTATTGGAGTAGTGGAGTTTTACCGCGTTATTGTACTTGATATTTGCAGAGTATAATAATACCAGTACCAGTTGAAACCTCATCTGTTGGCTCCGTGTTCGTATTTTATCATCGCCGCCAGGGAAGTCTTTCTGTTACTGTTGCCATTTTGGTATTTGAACCATCACACCTGTACTATACCAATTACGGTAATATTACGTTGCGTGTGACAGTCATGATGACAATTAACAATCAGTCATGCAATAAATATGATTTTAGACATGAAGATGGGAATTTAGAGAGTCCCAATTTGGTAGAAGTATGTTTGTTATGTTATATGCTTATATG